AAGTCGAAAGTGTGGAATGTGCGCTCGTCGTTATCGCACCGTTGAAACAAAACAAAATCCTCTCGCTGGAATATTTCCAGGTGAACCTACATCGTTACGCCATCTGAAAACACTTTACAAAGTGTTCCAAACGGTGTGGCGCGCATGTGTGTCAGTGCGAAATTGTCTATGAGGCAGTGAGTATGCGAAAGTGCGCATACAATAAGTCAAATCTAGACGACGCATGACTTTCAAATTTAATCTATCAAATAACAAACACAAATCACAAACTGTTAAGTCTTTAATACGACATAATGACGATGATGTTCGATCATTGATAAAGCACTAAACACGTCACTACATACAGTCGATAGACGATCGATAGTACCGCGATTTACTGAATTTACAAACTCAACAAGAAAACTATAGCCGGATGCAAAGCATTCAACAACTACTCAGAGTGCACCGCGTACATCTCGTAAGTCGAACGAGCTGCCAGCGCATGCGACAACATGCGATAAGACTGCGCACGCAACCCGCATCGCGGTATTTCGATCAAGGACATGCAGAAAGGAAACTATAGGCGCCACAAGGAACATGTTCGTCTCATCCAACGACCGGCGCAGAACTAAGTAGAACACATATTTGTGTATTTAAATTTATTTCTTTTACCAAGAAAATAAAAATGTCAAAACTCGATGAAATTTAGCTTCTTGCATTGCTTTTTACGGCGTTAATCCCTCCAACACCTTATTGATAATGTCAAAAATACTGGTCATAGTAAAAGAGCAAACGGCCTCTACCACTGCAATAACTTCGTCCTTTAGTTGAGTGGTCACATAATCAGTAACTCCTTGCAGAACCCAGTTGAGCATGCTACCTTCAAAGTCGATGTTGATTGCACTGCAATTTCAATATAAAATTTAAAATACAAACATACATTAAAAAAGAAAAACATTTTACCCAATGTTAGAAATAGAATACGACTTAAGACTGATTTGTAGTGCCTTGAAATCCACCTGAACCGCAAAATTCACATCGACGAGAACAACTTCACCATTAAGTTTACCTTCCAAGAGGGAACCGTCCGAGCTCACCGCAAT